CAACTGTCAACATTCGTCTGAGATTTCCCCACAATGCATCTCATTTACAAAAGAAAATATCGCTACTCTACATAAGAAACGGATTTCTCGATTCGCACTTTCCATAGACTGGTTATGTTGGTAATAAGTGAAACTTGAAGTGATCGATCGATGATCACGGTAACAAAACTAGTGATATTATTCAAAAGGTAGGTAACTCTGCATAATTACGTCCATCATATTATTATACAAGGAACATGCATACATTTCTTAAAATTTATCCGCGTGCATTATGGTGCTAAGATGACCCATGTTATCTAGGTAAGTAAGTAAGTAAGTAAGTAAGTAAGTAAGTAAGTTTTACTTAAAGTCGGCATATAGGTCCCTGTTCGTTGGTATTATGACATTCATTATTTTTTACTGATATATATTTCTCAAGACAAAACATGTTGATTACAAATAAATGTTCCTAAAAAAATATTTTCATGAAATTTCATTGATTATATTAACATATATGAAGCGATAAATAATTCCATTTTGCACTCGATAACGTCAGCGTATTTATACGCAGTAAAGGGTGTTTCAAGGCACACTCAGAAACTGAGCATTATTTCAGATTCTCTCAAGGTCATCCGAGTAAAAAGTCAGTGAAAAGGGCTTAACACATCAGATCGATACATAGCACAAAAACAACTAACAGAAACACTTAAGACACAAAGTACAGATCTGAGAGAACTCGTAGTTACTGAAAGCTAGTTCAAAGCCAGTAACAATTACGTTTTGTTCTCAACCGACTCGCATTGTCAATTTCTAGATGTTAGTCAAGGTACGAGGCATAGTTAACTGTATCTTTGGAATCCTTTACTTCAAGTTTAATAGGAAAGATGCGTTCAACATAGTCAAACAGAGGCAGGAGATACCAAAAAGATATTCAAACTCTTATGTCGATGACAAACTGACAACGCCATGGCAAAAAATCGAAAAACGACTTAAAGACACACAGTCTACAAAACACAACATTGAACAAAATCAGACTGAGAACCACGAATCCCACTAAAAAACTGAAAGTGATTTCAGGTGCTGCGGGAGGGTAAAAAGATTCTCCTGTGACACCCGTAGTTTTACTTATTTAAACTACGTTGATATGCTATATTATATAATAAGGCATCACGCACCTTAGAGAACATCATATAGATAGCGGAACGCAAAGTTAAATGAATAATTTTTCATTCCGATCATTCTTCAAACGTAACAAATACGTTATCAACAAAACAATCAAACATCTCGACGATGTCAGTTTCAGAGAAATGTTTGTTTAAATCAGAGTGGTGTTTTACCAGTTATGATTTATCTCTTGCTAACACAAAATATGTCTATCTAAGTTGGTAGTTCTTTTAAATGAATCAAAGCTGAACTTATTCTTTCAATCTGTCTAAGTTTAGAATGGGGAATACCAGTGCAAAGGGTAGAGCAGTCGAATTTTTTAATACGATTGAAATAGGAACGAGGCTTAGATTGGACATATTTAAACAGATCTTTGGAATTCGTTAGTAGCCACATCTGATTCACACCGCCTAGAGAGTAGGTAGCTATACAGTTAGTCTGAAAAGGTTTCGTGGAGCAGACCCAGCAATATGACGTTGTTTGTAAGGCCACTTATGTAATTTTGGTATCCAGTTCAATGAAAGAAGATCCAGTTCTTTGTCTTTGGTTGAAACTCCAAAAGGAACATAGGCCAGACCTATGATTGTTCAAGATTTCCTCTTTCATAAATGTCGTTAGAGCATGTTGCGTTTCCAGGTTAATTGGGAATAACGATAATGTAATGTGATTTACACACAAAACAGATCTCGTTCAGAGCTTTATCTTCCGGAGCAAACAGCATATTTGTCACGTAGGTAGGTCAGGTGCTTACCAACATTTGGGTCTTTGTAGCGATTTGTAGTACGAGTGTTCATACACACATTCACTTTTAATTCTAATTTGTACCCACGACCCCAAAGCATTTATCCATTAGGAAACAGTATCCACGTCTTTTTATCACGTCTAGCCCTATTGGCTAGCATAATCCTCGGCTGAATCCATAAGTATTTTCAAAGTTGTGTTTCCAATTTATGGATTTAGACACACGGTATTTTGGTCCTTTGGAAATCAAAATCCTGACAATATGCACACCTCTAGCATACGTCAGGGGCGTAGCTGTCGTTAGGCACTTTAGGCACGTGCCTAAACATAATTTTTTTCACAAATATTTTTTTTTGTATTAAAATAAATAATGACATCGTTATCTGTAGATACACGTGAAGTCGTCAAATTTCTTTAATTATCAAATGTAATTTGTACACTAGTCTATCATCCTTATTGAATGGAGTATTGGGTAGAATCGTATGTACATTATATTCCACCTTGAATAGAAACTAAAACTAGAACTTTGGTTCATATCATTTCACTTCTACCAACAAATACTCGAATGAGCCTCAACATGCTCAAAACCATGACATTTTATTCTTAGATACATGATTTTTTTTATTAGTTGTTGTTGGCTTTCAACTAGCTTTTTTCCACTTGGTCTTCATCCGATCTACAATAAAACCCTTGTCAAAGTGGGGCGTCCGCTTGGCTGTGCGGGATGTATAAATACGCTGTCTTGTCTGGTCAGAAAGGGGGCGTTAACTCCGATGCCTAGTGTAGAGAGAATGCCACGCTTTTTGCACGGTGAGAACACTTGCAACAACTCTTTGAGGGGTCCGTAGGTGGTCTGCTGAAAGACAAATTTTCTGTCCCTATCCAATAAACCCTCATTTACCTAGATCCGCTACGCGTCGCTAGGAAAACTTAATTTGCGACAGTAAAATCTACGTTTTACGAAGGCCAAGCTTAAAATACAATACAGTTATCTCCTTATTTTCTAATGTCATTTTCAAATTTTCAAACCTTCATCCTGGACGACCCCTATTACAGGACCTAGAGGCTACCTGTTGTATTTATTGTAAATTTGTATTTGTCCTGAACATGCATAACTATTTGCCACTGGAGGTCAAGTTGGTAATCAATTAATCAACTAGCTTTCAGTAACTTCGAGAACTCTCGGATCTACGTATAATGACCATAATTATTCCTAAGACTAAAGCAGGTAGGGATTTTACAGTAGAGGATATCAAAAAATATGAATTTCTTGAATTTTGTCTCGGTAGTATGAACAGAACCGAACTTCTGCATTGGGAATCAACTGTGTGTGAGTGTATGTGTTTGTGTGGCCGGGGTGAAAGTTTAAGAATCAAAAGATGGATGGTCGATGTCTAGCCCAAATGATAGTATTATTATATATAGTAGTCTCAGTTTTTACGTGCCTATTCTTTTAATGAAGGATCGTCTACATGTACTATTAATTAACGTATATATCAACTATCGTCAACCAGTAAGGAATAAATATGAAAATACTAAATAGGATGTACTGCTTAATAAGTTAATTAAAGGGCTACGCTGATCTACACTGGGCAATGCATATTGTAAATAAACATATATTTTTTTTTAGATTTCCGATCGTACTGCGCTAATTCACCAGATGTTATTATGAAATTATTTATAATTCTTCGAATTTTCTTCATGTATGTTATCATGATAAAATAACCAGTAAATTTAATACTTTTTGTACACAAAATTTTGCAACTATAATGCTGAAAACCGTTTCCTGTCGTGGGGCCTCGCCACCCAGAATCCCCTACCAGGGCTCTGCCCTGGACCTGCTGGGGGCCTTTAGCGGCCCCCAGACCCCCTGCCGCAATGTGTGCCTACAGTTGATTGGATACCTAGCTACGCGGCTGTACGTACTAAGACCTTATATAAACCGGTTCGCAAGGTCTCAAATTGGCGCTTTTTCGGTTCATTTTCATCTCTTTTCTAGATCAAATTTAAGTTTCAAATATGGTCTTTGCCCCCTAAAAGAGTTTCACAACTTCAAGAACGATTTTTTTTACAATAACATTATGTCCAAACACGAGTTTTTGTTCTTAAGCGGATATTCGCTCTATATGTCGAGAAACACTAAAAAAGATAACAATGAAATTTTTATAAAATACTCAATTCAAAAATGAAAATTTAAGAGTAAAAGGAAGTACACATCACAAAAGAATCATTAGGCAACAAATTCACGGTTTACAGTAAGTTGCTTAGCTGTGAGATAAAAAAAAAAAGTTTCTTTTCAAAGCTAAGCATCAAATAGGGAAGATAAATATTCTGAAAGGTATTAAACCATAAGGGGAAAAAGAACGTATAACTTTCACGGGATGGTCGTTACCGGCAAAGAATAATATGAAAACGATGGGATGTGGTAAGATTGCCAATGAAACAAATGAACCAGAGTTCAATTGAAGTGAATGTTAGAGAAATTTATATTTAATACTTACGGTACGGCCTTCAACTATGAGCAAAACTCAAACCGTATTGTCAGCTATAAAAGGTCCGACATGACAAAATGTTAAACAACTCGAACGAGAAAACTAACGGCCTAATTTACGATACAATTTATGAAAAACTAATATGACAGACATGAACCAACGACAACGACTAAATTACAGGCTCCTGACTTAGGACAGGCACATAAAAATGTGGCGGGATTCAACCAGCTTGATAAGGGTTATATAATGAATGATCTCTGCGTTTAATGTTTTAATATATTAGCCATGTTACCTTTAAATAACTTTTGTAGTGGTACAATTTTATCTGTATACAGTATAATTTTTTGTCGCTTGGTTCAGATGAGCCTAACTGATTGTTGGTAGTCCGGCGGGGTCGTCGGAAATATGTTTTATACTACATACTCTTAGAGTGATTGTTGCTGTTTTTTTCTCTAACTGGAATTCTCCTTAGTAGTTTCAGAGAAGACTTATGTAAAAGTTAATAGACGACGGACGCCAAGAATGAGGACAATATCTCACACTTGCCCTTTGGGTCTGATGAGCTTAAATGATTATATTTTCTCTACATACACTGTTATGTACTCTTCGGCTAACAATACTTACCTAATCCTATCATAGGTAAAACTATAGAAACTCCTTTCTTCATCCTGTTGTCTAAGATATTTGCCTTTTCGAGGATGTTATTGATGGTTGTTGATAACTCCTTTTGGAAGATCTCCTCCTTTTCATTTGGTTTTCTTCTAAGAATAGCATGCAAAACATGCTTGAATGGTAGGTTTTTGCCTCCCGATGTCATTAAAACTGTTGCTCGAGATTTCTCCATTACCCACGGTTGGAGTTTTCTATGTTCATCTCTATAGGTATTACAGCCGGCATCAAGTAAAGCCCTGGACAAACCTCCTTCTCCTTTCACTAGTCCATCCTCACTAACAACAACAGCATCCATATTTTTTAATTTGAGGATATCATCAGTGTAAATATGTATATCAGTTTTACCACAAAACGATCGTATAACTTTGCCTGTTATTGGGGTTGATCCTGTACCTTTCAATGCACCAATTTCTCTGCCATTGTGGTCGTATCTTTTATTTCCTTCAGGTTTATTGATAGACTTCCATGATGATGCAAAGTTATCTGAGTTTCCATGCGAACCAGAATGTCTATTATCAGGCTTCTGATAATGTCCAGTGTGTCCATTTCCTCCAAATCTTCTATTACCTGGATGGTCCAGGTTTGCATCGGCTGATTTTGCAAGTACTATATCAAAGTCAAGACATCTTTGATTGTTCTGAAATCTCATATACCAATCATATACCAAATCAAGGACGTCGTCATTAATATCTATTATGTGGAATTCCTTTAATGTTCCATGTCTGCCTTGTTTACTAAATTCAAATATACCTTTCAGGTACATAGCAGCACACATGGATTTTGGTACACCAAATATGCCTGTTTAAAAAACGAATTACATGAATACAAAGAGGCTTGAAAATAATATTTTTACACATAGCCTTGCTACACACAATCTGTATATGTAATATCTAAGCTAATCTGTCAGAACTGCCAAAAGATTCATATTGAAAAATAGAAACATTTCAATATTTGTAGGTAAATGGGTTAAACATTATTCTCATCAGTAAAACTGACAGCGTCTCAATAAATTGTCATTAGCAATGCAATAATGGCTATACAAGGCGCATCATGATACGAATATGGGCCCTGCTTTGTGCTAGACCGACACGCTGAGCCCTATTTTAATCTTAGTAGTTTCTGATAGTAAAAGTCCACAGTAAACCTGGACAAATTTTTGTCGCATAGAATCGACCAGTATTTGCTCTTACTCTTATATAACCGAAATGAACCCCTGAACTCCTGCACTCGGTGGGAGCACGCAACCAAGAGACCACCGAGGCTGTTCACATGTGGATAATGGAGGTTCAACAAAAAGGGATATACCAAGGCGTTAAAAAAAATACCGCACCAAAGATGCTTAAAACAGACACAACATAGTCAAAAGAAAAAAAACTAGAGGTTCTAAAGAGCATGTGTTCCTAACAATTGCAAACTCTTAAACATTATAGACTGTAATTTAACTCTTGACTTGCCATATGTATCTTTTTTGCTCTTCTTGTATTGCTGATGATGTTTGCAGTTCGATTTCTCTCTTTCTACTTGAATTTTGCCAAGAACGCAAAAACAAATGGAAATCATCATTTAAGTCCGAACAATCCTTTAATGTCATCCAATGGTTCTGTTGTTTTGCATTTTTGTAGATCTTGTATGACTGAATTTTTTCGCCGTTTACAGTTTCTGCCTATGACGTATTCCCAAGTTTCGTGATTAATAGGCAAATACACTTAAATAAGTCAAAAATCTTCATTTTAGGGCAAAAACTCATTAAAGATAATTTTTGCCAACAACAGCTTCTACCTTTTTATTTCTATTTTTGAAATAATCGGCAAAAACCTAAAATAAGCAAAAATCGTTCTTTAAGGAGTCATGAAATAATTTTGATTTTAATATGAAGAAGTTATATCTTGACTATTTGAGCAGTTATCCCACCAGATTTTATTTATCTATTTAGTTTTTTTTAACATACAAGACAATTGGTTGATATTATTCCTATGTTGACTGACCACACATTGTGTACTATATACCCAATCCTAATTTGGTTGAAGTTGGTTCAGTAGTTTAAGAGGTGAGGAAGATCTTGGAAAAAGTTTAGGACGGAGAACGGAAGAAATACGACGACGAACGTCGATTGTACCCATCATATTTTATTGATGTGGTTACTGTACACAAAATCGATAATTAAAAATGTCCAATACATAAATACAATGTATGTAATTACACCTTACATAAGAATGTCGTATTTTGATTGGTTGGTAGCCAGTGTATTTTTCGCATATTCTAACATTTTTTCCTCATTTCAAACGAATTTTCCTGTTTTTCACCACTGCCGATGAATATGCCTCAAATTCCCCTCTATGCCGTGGTATAATTTGCCATTTTGGATATTCCTTTTTTACCCTCGCGTGCCTCTTCCCGCCAAAACTATTCGGAACCTTTCTCACCTTATCCCGATTATTAAGGCTACATGATAAAGCAATATTAATTGATAGAGGTAATCCGAAAACTGTAAACAAAAATGTCACAAATCTCGTGATCGTATATTGAAGAATGCGTTGAGTATATAAAGTGGGAAAAGACGTCTATACAAATGAACGGTTTAATGATGGAATGACACTGACGTTTACCCCAAGATACCATGACGTTACATAAAGACAGTGCTAACGCGTATATGTACATGTATAATTCCCGCGGTACTATGATAGTCTCTACTTATCCTCAAAATTATGCATAAACATGCTTATGGATTACAGCTTACCAGTAAAAAAAAAGATTTCCCTTCACAGGAAAATACCAGTCTTGGGACCAAATTTCCCTCGCTTAGCAGCTCGGGAAATTTCACAGTCCCTTAACTGGTATTTTTCGCAAATACCCCTCCATAACATGATATATCTGTTCAATATACAATGCATGATTTTTTGTTTGTTTATTAAATTCTATTTTTTTTAAATATATTTTGTAACTGAATACACAAAACAAGGACCATTATGTCTGATGTTAACTTATCAAAATACGGATTTGACAAAATCGATCATTTGAAATATTTCAATATGATGCAGGTATGATGAAATCGTACCATGTGACATAAAAAAGTTTTTCCAACTGACTATATGTAAAAAATGCCCTTCTATTTCAATTTCACACAACTTTTTTATAATTCAAAATAAACAATTATCTTTGGTTCAATTGTTATCAACCTAAAGTGTGACTATCCTTATTTCCAGTGGCAGTCCAAATATTACGCCCTTCATATCGGTCAACCACTACAGCAGTACCTACCTGTTTTTATTTATTTTTAGAGTGTTCTCGTCCTGTACATGCATAAAATATTTGCCACTGGACGTAAGGCAAAAAATCAATCAATCAATCAATCAACTGTTATCCAAGGACCATAAGATTACATTAAATACCAAAATAGCCATAATATCTAATATATTTTGAAAGTTACAGCTATGCGTAGGAACTACTTTGTGTGAAATATGTACAACTTTCATATAAGTTTGTCAAGACCCGGCCTGAGTTGGTGGTTCTGTAGTATCACCAGTACTGTTATCGGCATTCACATACAAGTTTCATTACCATAATATTTGCAGTTTATATACGATGCGAATGGTACTGGTGTGGTTTAAAATTCAAACAAAATAGAACCGAAAATTGAAGACCCCAATATGTTTGTATACAATTCATAGTTCAATCTTTAAGAAGGCTTAAGAAAACTTTTTTTGTTGTCGTCCTTTTCAAATTTACTATCAACTACAATATCTTTTTTGTTGGCGTCTTTGTTAGATTTATTTTGTATGTTTGTTTGAATTTTTTAGTCAGTTGTGAAAGAAAAGAAGTAAGCAGTATCCTTAAACATCACTTTCCGCTATATAGATGATGTTCTCTCCCTAAATATTTCAAAATTATGTGACTATGTTCTACGCATATATCCATTCGAACTTGAGATGAAGGATACAACAGATACAGTTAAGCCTGCCTCATATTTTGACTTACATCTAGAAATTGACAATTAGGGTCGGTTGTAAACAAAAAATTATGACAAAAGAGATGATTTCAGCTTCCCAATTGTGAACTTTCCATTTCTATGTAGCAACATTCCAGCAGCGCCTGCATACGGAGTATATATCTTTCAGTTGATATGATATTCCAGGGCTTGTATTTCGTTTCATGATTTCCTTGATAGAGGGTTGCTGCTTATAAGGAAGCTATTAAACCAAGAGTTCCAAGTGGTGAAGTTGAAATCATCCCTTCGTAAATTTTACGGACGCCATCACGAGTTGGTTAACCGTTATGGAATATCTGTTTCACAGATGACAACGGATATTTTCCAATTGTAACTACAATCTCGTCCCCTTTTCCCTGAACTTGACTCCGTTCTACCGAATTAGACTTATCACCGGATTTGTATTAACATGAGCAACACGAGGGTAACCATATGTGAGGCAGGATCTGCTTACCCTTCCGGAGCACCTGAGATCGCCCCCAGTTTTTGGTGGGGTTCGTGTTGCTCCGTTTTTAGTTTTCTATGTTGTGTTTTGTGTACTGTTGTTTATTTGTTTGTCTTTTTCTTTTTTAGCCATGGTGTTGTCAGTTTATTTTCGACTTATAAGTTTGAATGTCCCTTTGGTATCTTTCGCCTATCTTTGTGTTGTATGTTTGTGATGTATGCTTACACAGTTATGGCTGCCGATCCCAATTATTGTCATGTTAACCTTTTATGTCTGTTTGGGTTGCCTTGGAGTTCGGAAGTTTTGTTATACTTATTTTCGAGTATATAATCAGCCTTTGTACTGAATCGCACTTTTAATATAGTGCGAAACTTGCAGTGAGTTATCCTTATATAGTACAAATGAACCTGAATGGTTCCCGAACAAGTCTTTCTGTCAAAAGCTTTTCAACTTACCCGAACTTATTGGAGGCATAGCAACTGATTCGTAATTTTTCGAACATGAACGGTTTAAAATGTTGATAACAGTTGTCATAAGTACTTCTAAGCAATTTTTTTTGTCTCTATAATCGTGCCATCTTGGACCTACTGCGTGTATGACAGCCCGATATTGCAAGTTGCCGGCTGAAGTAACCACGTTTGCTCCATCTAGAATTTTACCATTTTTCGCTACACTATCTTTGCATTCTCTTGACAGTCTCGATCCCGCAGCTTTCGCTATAACATCAGCCACGCCACCAACATTGGCTAAACTTTCATTGGCAGCATTAACAATAGCATCAACTTGAAGTTTAGTAATTGGTTTTTTGTACAACTTAACTAACAAACCTTCGTCTGTTTCAAACTTAAACTTAATTTTGTCATTTTGATCCAAACCAACATTGTAATCAACTCGCCTAAAAGATCCAGCTCCTTCATATGTTCCAGCTCTTTGTGATCGTCTCTTCAGTTCTGGATCCCTCGAATACTCATGGTGTTCAGCCAAAGGATTAACAGGGTTTTCATAGGCATTTCTGACCATGTCTATATATTGTTGCTTCTTGCTAAACAGTCTGACAAACCGGCTGTTTTTAACCGACTGTAATGCCAAGACGTCATTTTTAATTTTACAAACGGTTATCGCTTGATTTACATGATCAATAGTGTTTTCCGAATTACCATCAATAACGTATGTCATAAGTTTCTCTTCGATCAACCATTTCCATCTGGCTATAACAGCCGTAATTTCGTTTTTATCGATCACTTTACATTTAACAATTATTTTCAATGGATCTTCACGAGTTTCTACATCCATTTTATGTTTTTCTTTGTCTTCATTTATTTCGGTATTAAAAAAGAAACATATTTTCTTTGCTTCATATCCACCTATTGGTTCAAATTCATAGACCTATTAAGGAAAATGATACACAACTATATTTCAATCACATACATAGCAGAAGATACTATCATTAAGACATCATTATAATTTATTCAAAAACTATATCTAACAAATCACATTTAGTTTAGAACGTGGAATTGTTTACTTTGCAAAATCAAATTAGAATCAAACTTATAGCCCAACAGCGGTTTCTTCTTTGAAAAACGAAACACACATTCTTATATAGAGGAAATCCCGCACAACCATATGCCTGTATTACACATGTAGTCCCTCTGGAAATTGAAATGGATACTTAACTAGATACCCAAATTACATAAGTGTTCTAAAAAAGTTATAATGCTTAGTTTGCCAAATGCTCCACAAACATATTTCCAAAAGACTAACACCTGTTCTACTATCAATCAGGACTAGAGTACAGATTTATTGTAAAACTACCTATGTTGAGGGCGGTGTGAATAGATGTAGATTCTAAAACAATCAAATATCTGTTCTAATTTTTACAAAATTGAAACATTTGACGTTATATTCCTTTGCAGTTGTTATGCTAAGACATTTGGAATTCATTTTGGAACTTATTGTGTTCCTGTTTTCATACAATTTCTCCTTCATTTGTTTGAGACGAAACAGCGGCGTCTCAAGAAGAATGAAAGAAACCCATTGAATGATCATGTAACTCTCCACTACATCAATGAACAAAACTGAGAATGGAAACGGTGAATGTGTTAAAGAGACAACAACCCGATCAAATAGCAGAAAACAGCCCAAGGCCACCAATGGGTCTTCATTACAGCGAGAAAATTCGGGCTTCAGCTGGCCCCTAAAAAATTATGTATACTAGTACCGCGAAAATGAACGTCACACTTAACTCCGAAACATAAAATGAACCAAAATTAAAAAAACATAGACTAACAAAGGCCAGAGCCTACTGACTTGGGACAGGCGCAAAAATGCGGCGGGGTTAAACATGTTTTGTGAGATCTCAACCCTCCTCCTATACATCTAGCCAATGTGGAATAAACAAACACACAGCAATACGCACAGTAAAACTCAGTTTAAAAGAAGTCTGAGTCCAATGTTAGAATAGGTAACAGAAGAAACTAAGGAAAATGACAATGATCAACATAAATTAACAAAGGACTACTAGTAGTTACTGACATGCCAGCTCCATTCCTCAATTAAAGTGATTGAAAGATTATGTCTTCGTCATATGAAAATCAAGCACAATCCCTCCCGTTAGGGGCTTAGTATCATACCATCATAAAATATACGAGAAGAACATAACCTGTCTCATGCCAACAACTGGTTTTAGAATAAAATGTGCTTATTTCCAATGCAAAGACCCTATGAGTGAATCAATATTAATAAAAAAAAAATGTCATCTTTAATGACCTGACAACAGTATCGTAACTATATCCTTTCTGAATAAGTCTGTTCAAAGGTTTGGTTAGCTTTTGAGGTGTATGACGACATTGTGTGCTCTGTATAGAATATTACCATAAAAAATGGGATGTGAAATACCTGAACGTATAAGAAGTAAAATAAAAAAAATACTGAACTCCAAGGAAAATTCAAATCGGAAAGTCCCTTATCAAATGGCAAAATCAAAAACTCAAACACATCAAACGAATGGAAAACAACTGTCATATTCCTGACTTGATACAGGCATTTCCTTATGTAGAAAATGGTGGATTGAACCTGTTTTTTTAGCTAGCTAAACCTCTCACTTGTATGACAGTCGCATAAAATTCCATTATATTAACAATGTGTGAACAAAACAAACAGACATAACAGGTAAAAATGTCAAAAATAGTGGTACAGCAGTCAACATTGTGTTATAATCTAAATCACTATAAAAACAAACAAATATGTCAATAAAGAAAAACAAAATGGCATATAGAGAAAGTGGTGCTTTGCTTTTGCGCCAAGTGGCATTTCATTTGCGCTAAAATAATCTTTCATTCGCGCCACAAACCATATTTCATTTGCGCCAATTATACAAGTAAATACAGGTTAATAGTATAAAAAATAGTTTTATTCAAAAGAGAGTTTTAATAATAACATTAAAACACAGTTTTTGATTGCATAATAATACATATATTCCTCCGAAATCAGTCATCGTAACCATAAGGAAAGCACTATACACTGATACGTTCTTAAGAAGAGATTTTTCTTGATAATGGTAAAACACAGTTCTGTTATAAATTATTAACGAGATCATAAAGAAGAGACTTTTCTTAATAATGTTAAAACACAGTTTTGTTATAAATTATTAAGGAGATCATAACAAATAAAAAAAAATTTGTTCTGACACAAAACTTGTAAGCAACGGCTCGGATGTACTCATTTACACTGGATAACCTATATGTATGGTTATAAAAAATTACAGACGCTATTTCCTCTATACATGTATGTGGTATGATTGCCAATGAGACAACTATCCACCAAAGTTCAAATGAAGTGGATGAAAGCCATCATAGAAAACCGTACGGCCTTCAAAACCCCATTCCGGCTATACACGGCCCTAACATGAAAAATATGAAACAATCCAATTCTGAGAAAACTGACGGCCTGTTTGTCCCAGAATTGACAATGTCCATCTTGATACCTCAAACATGTGAACACTATATAATTTAAAACCTCTCAGTTTTATATTAAAAAATGAGTACGAATTTACTTAGTTACCCAGGGGGAATGCTTTTTAAAAATCTTATTCACGATGTAGCAATGAATATTTTAAACTTTTCCATTATATGTTACCTGTAAAATTGGCGCAAATGCAATGCGCCCAGAGAAAGCACATAAGCAAAAATGGAAGATAAGAATACAAAAGAGATGTAAGATGTGTGCACGTTGATTTATATTTACAAATGATGTACTTGTACCGATGCTAAAATTTAGTAAATGTTTTGACAAGTTTGTGATATCGAAAACCCTGGTGTAATAATTTTTCAGTAATACAGAGATTTCTTTCGTTAAAATCAAATACGTTGTTATATACACGAGCGAATGTCACCATCTAAAAATCAGTGGATAACTAACAATGGGAAATGAAAAATCATCTCTTTTATCGTCAATTTTAGAATTAAAGATATAGATATCAAGATCTAGGAAAGGACAGTGTTAATTGTTAGTATTAATTTAGCTTTATTTAAAGTCAGCAAGATAAACCTCTTTAGTGTACATACTGAAGTCGTCATTATTGAGAGCCAATATATCATCCGAATATCTAAAAGTGTTATTAAATTTTTGTATCAGATGTTGTTTCGATGCGTCTTTGCTTATTTTAGTCATAAATTGTAACTCGTAATAATACAGAAGTCCATTTACTGGGACGAAGTTGATTGCGTCTATACTAGAGAAATGACGTTAACCATAACATTTAATTTATAATATTCATAGGCGGATCCAGGGGGGGCTGGGGGGCCCGGGCCCCCCCTTTCGTGGGAAAAATTTGGTTGATTATATAGGGAATCACTGAAGCGTGACTGGAGCGGGTCCCCCATTAGGTCAGTCAGCGGGCCCCCCCCCCCTTACAAAAAGTTCTGGATCCGCCACTGAATATACCCATCTAACACACGGCTAAATAATATTTCAAGTTCTTCTTAAAAAATATTAGTCTACCATTTCAGAATCAGAATAATCAATCTCTTCCAAAATTTTTATGAAAATTTTTTTATGAATAATGTAGGAACCTCATAACAATTACCTTGAGGAAAAAACAATATACTAGAAATACAATCAACGTATAGTATTTGTACAAGTAAAGGGAACTAAAATACAGAAACTCACGGCATTTACCCCAAAGTCCAAATAAATTGGACCCCTCCGGGAAAATCATCCTTCAACCATGTTTTTTTTTGTACTTCAAATATGTATCTAGCAACTGTAGTTAAACTATAAGCTACATAAAACCGCAAGTTATTGATCAAAGCTAGTGACAATATTTTAATGTTTTAAATTTCCTTATCTCAAATCTTTTCGAGATATTTTTAGTATCTACCTTGGACCAAGAAGCCTTATTGTGTTCAATGATAGTGAGTGATAGTTGATTTCGATCTATCTACAGTACATTACTGTGATTAGGAGGTAACTATAGATCATATATCTAAGTAGGTTGCAATCTAATATGTTAGTATTTGGTTTAGCATCCGGAAACAACAACTTTCTACACGTTTCGGTTTATTTTAGTTGCTTTGACCTTGACCATGGACGATTTGACTTCAAGGTGGCACGGTAGTATTTCCTGGCCCATGGGGATAATGATAGCCTTTTTAGAATTTTCACCACTTTCTAACACTGCCCAAAATTCTACATACACAGTTAACTGAAGTACTGTCATTATAATATTCAGAAATTAATTTGAATATGTATGATGACCGTTTACTTTGTTTGCTATCTTTATAAACCTTAGGCCACTAGTGCCTTTAGGTCTTTTATCATGCAGTGAATACAAAATTTTTAAAAATTCTCAAAAATTCATTTTCACCTGTATGTAAAATTATTTCATATTTTTCTACACTTGATCATGCATCCCTCAGTTTGGGAAAGTATGTTCAGTAGATACTGTATTTTTTGTCCAATCATACTGTTCAGATACATTGACTTAAGTAGGGTACACAAAAGAGCAACCTAAATTCCGGAATGTAAATACTACCGTGCCATCTCAAACTTTTTCCTCTCATAAGCATCCGGAAACTACTTTTCTGCAAAAGTTCCGGTCTTTTTCAGTTAGTATGATTGATTGATTGTTGGTGTTTTTTTCTGCACATTCAGCACTCTTGGCTATATCAGTGAGGTCAGTTTTTATATAAATGTATATAAGATGTGACATAATTGGTAATGAGAGACAACTATCCACCAGAGACAAAATGACGTAGATGTGATAAACTATAGGTCACTGTACGGCCCTCAACAATGAGTTAACCCATACTGTAAAGTAAGGTATGAAAGACCCGACATAACAAAATTATATCCTGTCTAAATGTTGCG